GTGCACCCCGGGGCCACTCTGCGCATCGTTGCGTCTTTATTTTAGCTCCCGCTGGCTGGCTGAGCTCTCTGCTCCGGTGCGCGCTGAGCTGCGCGTCTCAACCCACCGGGCCCCGTTCGCCGCGTAATTTCCCAGCGGTGGGAGGCTGCCCCCAGCCCCGGCAGCTCACGCGGGCTCGGCCGCGTTTCCCGACAACGTTTCGCCAAGGCCGATGCGGAGAAAGGAAATTTGAAAGCACAAAGGGCTGAGGAGAGGATTCAGCTGCCTGCGGGCGGCTGCGGCCGCGAGGCATTGCAGGCAGTCTGCGCGCAGGGGCTGGGCGCTCGGGGTCCCTGCCCTCCGGAAACAGCGGCCCAAGTTTAGTCCATATTCCGGGGAGCCCTGCCACAGAGCCTGCCCCTGGCCCGGGCGGTGTTGCCCAGCGCCTGTGCCATCCTAGGTAGGGCGGTATCGCTCCCTTTGGGAGACTAGCTGGCCCACCTCTGACAGGGGCCGTGGCATTGCACGTGTGCTCGCCTGGAGACTTATTCAAAACCAACAAGCCCAGGCAGACTAGTCGCTTTGTCACGACAGAGTGAGCAGAACTCGGCGCCTCTGACTGCAGCGTCTTTTCTGCCGGAGACAGCGTCTCTTCCCCCAGCAAATCCAGTCGGACTCTGTCCTGGAAAGGAAGCGGTGTGAAAACTGCCTCGTGGGAACAAAAGCGGTGCAAAGTGACCCCGTTCCCTATCGCTGCTCTTCATTGCTCTCTCTGCTCGGTGGGTGCTGAACTAGCCAAGGCGGCACGAAACCGCTGGCAGTGCTAGGTGGGGGGCAGAGAGGGTGGGGAAAGAGAGAGGAAACTCCCGTGCGGGTTCAGGGAACAAAGAGATACTGTATCTTATTAACGAAATACGTGAAGATTACGCACAAATCACCTCCTTAGAGTCTCTGCCAAGAAAGCCGTTCGTTTGGAAGCCAAAAACCAGCGACGCTCCTAATCCTACAAAGTCATTCACAGTAACAAATAGTTTGGGAGAGTGACGCCAGGGGGACAGCTGTTTCTGCTTAGGTTTAAATACTTTCCAACAGTTTGGGTAGTGAAAATAAAGTAGACCTCGACGGCCTATAATCGGAGTTTCTAGTTTCCTTGCTCCAAGAATCTCTGGGCTTCGTTCCCCCCAAGTGCGCTCCAGCAGGCGGGCGAAAGGGATTGGAGGTGGAGGGGGGGTGTCTGAGAGGAGGCGTGAGGATGTGGCTGCGGTTTCGCTGATTCTCGGAGCGACCCATGACTTTGTGTATGTCCCGATATGGCAGGGTTATCTGTAAACACTGCCGAGGTAATTACTGCGTTTCTGACTGCAATCAAGTGTTTCTCGCTGGGCGATTAGTTGTAGCGTGCTCTCTTACTGAAAGCTGCTGCCTCCTCTCTCTCTCCTTCCTCCGCCCCCTAAATCACCTCTGGCTGTTGGAGAGTTTGGTTAGTTGCCCTAAGATAGTATTTCTCCGCATTTCACCCCTCAGCGATTTTACTGCCGCTCACTTCCATAAGAATATTTGCTTTAGGTGTTTTTTTAAAAGCCAGAGAGATGTGGCCGCTGCAGAGTCGGGGGAGGGCTAGGAGACGGATTTTTCTTTCGCAAAGTCAGAGTCTCGTGTCGGTGGCATCAACACTCAATCGCAGCCGAAGAAATAGATCCGCTGCGATATTTGTTTGGTTCAAAACTTGTGAGCGTCTTTTATCTCCCTGCCTGCGGCACATGGATGTGTAGCAACAAATGAAACAAGAGGCTGGTTATTGGGAAGCGCGTAGGTGCGATCGCGGCTGATCTCTTATGAAAACACGTGGGCTTGGTTCCTGGAGGGGGGCATATAAGTGAAACAACAAAGCACCAAAAGTTCGTCAGTGGCCGGATTTCAATGTCTCCCTTCTATAGGCTCCCACACGCACACCCTGAGGTGGGAGTTTCGTCAGTGTCCGGATTTCAATGTCTCCCTTCTATAGGCTCCTACACGCACACCCTGAGGTGGGAGCCAGCAGCTACCCAGGCTAACACCTTAGTAGGGGAACCCCAAAGTACACTGTGGGGGGAAGAGATGCGGGGGCACGCCCGACGCCCCATCTCGGTTACTGCGGATGGGACTGGCTTCCCCCTCTCCTAGCTCAGTGCTGGCACAACTGGGGTGCACTGGGGTCTGTCTTCGGTTGTATTGTCCCTCCCCTGGAGCCCAAACACCCGTCCGACTTCATGTTTCAAGCTCTCCGGAAAACTCCCGGCGAACCCCCCAGAGCGAGAAAAGTTCCCGGGAGGATTCGGGTGCGTCTCCTCTTCAGTAAATAAGGTAACTGCTTCTTATTACCTAGGCTCCCATATGGCTGCAATTTGACTGTCTCGGAGAGTGGGGGGCGAAAGTGGAAATAAACGGTCTGGGGCTGCAATTTTATGACGAAAAATGCCAGCAGTTCCATTTAGGGCGGTTACCAACGCGATAAATTGGCTCTCAGGGTGTGTGTTTATTTAATGAAATACGGGCTGCGGAACACCTGTTTCCTAAGCTGGGGGGCGAGGAGGGGGCTTCCTCTCGGTTTGGAGCATAAATAAAATCATCTGACGCCCTTTCAGGTGCATTGACCAATAGGCGGCGGCTGGGCTGTTGTGCTATTGGGTCACAAGTCACTTGTGGCTGCCTATGTGATGGGGAGAAGGGATGACCCCGGCCGCGCGCACGTGGGACGGCGGAGGGGGGGAGGTACCCGCATTGTCTCGGGGTGCCCCGGCTTGACTCCATCCTCCCGTGGGAACAGCCACCCTGCCGGGGGCGGCGCG